TTAACAGTTATATTCAGTTAACACCTACCAAATACATTCAGTTCACAGTACACTAAAAATCTCTGCATGTAGGTGTTCTCAGGTTCAGTCATGTATTGAATTCAGTTAACTAAAGATCTACTTTCACATATAGCTTCCATATGTATGGCACTTTCAAGTTTCAGTTCTAAACTACAACACACATCTCTGCACATCACACATCTCTGCACCACATGCTGCACCACACATCTCCAGCAGCAAAACACATCGCACATCTCCACCAACAAAGCAAGTTAGCATGCAAGATTTAATACCTGCTGCACAGGACAACCCAGGAATCGCCTCCCAGTCAAAGCACCTTCAAAAGCCACCATCTTCTTCGGCCTCTGATGATGCATCATGCACGTCGGCTCAGATTCAGTGTAAGAACCACAGAAAGATGGTTCCACCACACTGACAGGGGTTTCCTGCAAAAGAAAGTTCGAATCAAACCAAAACCAACTTGGAATCTCCAATTTGGATGAACTAACCCTAACCCTAACTCTGTTCCACCATTATGCACTTACAAAGAGCTGAGGATCCATTGAAACCATGTTGATGTCCTCGTCCGAGCTCTCCTCGTCATTCCAGGATGGCATCCTCAACTTCTACCGGCAGCAATGGCCGCGTCGGCGACGGTGATAGGCTGACCTAGCTCAGAGCACCAGGGAGAGGGAGAGGATGAGGACGAGTGAGAGCGAGCGAGGAGGAAGAGACTGAGCGAGTGGCTGAGCTCGCTCTCACTTATTGGCCCACCGACAGCCGCCATTCGGACAGCGGACGGGGCGTTCACGGCCGTCAGCGCGCGGCGGCCGTCCGTTGGCCAACGTGGCTACTGATTTGCGGGCCCAGCCGGTCAGATTCGGGGTTAGCGCGGGCGAAGCGAGCGCTTTCGTGACTTGGTAGTTTTTTGCCACGGTTTAGTCCAAATTTGATAGTTTTTGGCACAAAATCGTAGAGTGGTAGTTTTTCGTCACGTTTCCGTCAATTGTGGTAGTTTTTGGTTAAATACTCACGGAAACACCACTCGTAACTGCAGGAAAGTGCACTCTGGATATGTTATTGAATGTTATTAGCCCGACGGATCGTGAAACTGCGCCGCAAATATTTTGGCATGGACAGATCCAAGGACAATCAACTGCAACTTGGTATAGATTTATTTATATAGCTGTTGCAACTTGTTTTTTTTTAACAAATTGCGAATGTGTTGCAACTTGAAATTAACTATATGGCAACATAAACGATAAGGACTGCAGCGAATACTAGGAGAGGAAGGGAAAAGGAGGGTCATTATTCCCCATCGTTCCACTTTGAGTGCATCAGAATCAGCCATACAGCACAGCAAACCGTAGGGTGATTTGTCAAATGAGAGCTACCTGGGTCATCAGCAGCAGTCCTAGTGGGTAAAGCACCTGTTAGATGACTGATTAGTCGACAACAAAGCAATTCTGGCATAAAAGTTTAAGTTAAGTTATGGTGTGCAATGAAGCATCATCATTCATATAAATGATGATGAGTGCTGCTTCCTCCATGAAAATGTACGTTTCTTTCGCACGTTGCTGACAGTTACAAGCATAATGGCTTACTGTTTTCTGTTGTATCAAAGGCAGTTACATCTGAGATCTTGTGTGTATCTACTTTAGTAAAGCTACTAGACATAATTCAGAGTACCCTAACAATGAGGCACGAGGAGGGGTGTTTCATGAGTATTGGATCTGTTAGCAAATATCCGTGTCAAATACATAATAGCTTCAGTTGCTTCAGATGAGCCTAGACGTAGGATGACGAAGGATCCAATGTTTGGACCCGCGGCAGCTGGACTAGGGAATGTAGATGAGGCAATGCCCAAGATCATAAAACAGTGACAAGATTTTGGAGATAAAATTCAGGCAACAGCATTGACAGGCACCATGCGGTTCAGCAGGGTCAGCTCACTAGGATAATCAACGGCCTGTTAGTGCCCATGGGCGGTGTTTTTAATTTCTACTCGTGCTTATCTGCAAGACCAAAGCTATCTTATGAGCTCCTCTTATGATGTCAAGAAAGTACGCACCAATGGCTCCGACTTCTCGTTTCTAATATACACATAAATTGTTTGCCACAAGGTCTGACCATTGTACCAGGCCTTCTTCAGTGATGAACTTGTAGACATCTACGTGTAAATCATGCGTTCCTTCCAAGCTGCCCCTAATTTAACCTTATCTTAAGTCACTTTGTGCTTTTCAGACCTGGTATATTTAACCATTCAAGTTACAAGAAGAGCACAATGCCTCAAACCTATAGGTTACCCATCAGGAGAAATGGCCTCCGTCCAGGTACGGCAAAAAGAACAAAAGGCAACCCATGACAAGAAAGGGAAATCGATGTAAAAAAGTATGGATGCTGATGAATGCTGCTCCAGATAACTTGCTGCGGAAAACGGAAAGAAAGCATGTGTCCCAACTTTCTGAATGCAGTTAGCCCTTGCCAACGCATTCTTGCACCACATCAGGTCAGCAGATATATACTAGATACAAGGAATAGGGTCAAGTCAACCGTGTTATACTAGGCATAGCATGCATAAAGCCACAAAGTTTGAATAACTACTCCGCAGTTTACTTTAAATGCGTATTGGCATGTAACAGAGGTTTCTGAAAATATATAACTCGGCATCTTTGCTGCTGCAGCAAGGAGAGGCAGCCACACTAGGACAGCAATGAGAGAGGATATACCCAGATGGTGGGGGTTTTACAGTTCGGTGGCAGCGATTAGCAAAATCGATATGGTGAGTGTGGGATGACCGGAAGGGTGTGAGACAGAAGGGCATGTTGTTAGGATAAGGATACATTTGTTAGAAGTCTACTGAGACTGGAGAGTGTACTACTAGAGGTATTTTAGGAAAATGGAGAGCGGGAAGATGAGGAAGCACACGGTACCCACCGAATATGTACCATGAAGTGGGTCTTTATAGTTGTATGTAGATGAAGGTGAAACATACCACCTCCTGATGTGTCTTCAGCCAGCAATTTTTTGAAGCTGAATCTATGCATCTACGATTAAACTGCCTCAGTCATAAATCTGGAAACCCAGCCATACCTAGAGCACAGCCCCCGCCACCGCCGTAAGCATATATACAGCAGATCCTATTCAGCTAGTGTCCAGGAATAGTAAGAAAAATGTCAGGTGACAATGCTCTTTATGTGTCGCCTTCATTTGGTAAATTAATTAAATATAAGGCAAACATTCATCATAGATCTAATATAAGCTTTCACCATAGTAACATATATACAAATATTTTCCTATTATCCTTGCTTTGCTCCAGCAGACTTTGAATTCCGAAAACAGGACTTGAAACAGGAAATAAAAAAAGATAAAGAAACAGAAGAATTAAGACCATTGTTATCTAATCCACACCAACTATCGTAACAATAAAAGCTTAAATAGCCATAGAACATCAAAAGCGCATCATTTAAATAATCAGGTGTGACTAACAGTCAAAAGGAGAACAAAGCACAATAGGCTCAGAGCACTCTGTGGTGAAAGCTGGTCCACAGGTTATTTAAATATCACGTAGGCTAAGATGAGCATGAACCGATACAAACAGCAAAAAAAACAAGCAATAGACTCCATCAGCAAATGGGATATGGATCACCTGAATTGAAGAGGCACTGACATATTAATATCCCTACTTTATGAGGCAGCATCTTATCACTTGCATGGTGAAAGAGCTTAGTTACCGTGAAAATTCAACTATTTTCATGCTGCCTCCAATCTTTTACTAGTTAGCTTATATTTCATAAATCTAAGGCCCATATCAGCTGTAAACTGAAAAACACCCGTGAAGGTAGTCTATTTAATGATATTTTGTGGACTCCCTGTCAGGGAAATCAGAAGCAGATGTTGCAGTTAGATGGTCCATCAGTCCAGGCGGTCGGTAGTATATCAGGAAAGCTTAGGGTTAGGATAAGAGTCCATACGTCAGAAGTCGAGTCAGTTTCCATGTCAGAGTCCAAGTCTTAGGGGTCAACTTAAGTAGCTCTATGCAAGAGCAGGCATTGGTTTTTTCTTTCACATGAAATAAGAAACACATCTTTCTTGCCTCTAGATGCACTCCAGCAACTGACAGAAATAGGTTGAATCCAGATATAAAGATAGATGCGGCATTTAGACGGCCAAGAGGTTCTGACCTTATCTAAGTATCTGACAGATAGAGATTACCCTTTTGCTGCTAGTGGTAGGCCATTTATGCATAAAAGTAGCATTCCTACTTATCACCTGTATCCACACCACAATCTGCCAGAACACGAATGTAAGAATAAAAAAGTCTCAAGTTAGTGCTAGGATAAGTGCACTTTAGATAGTTAAGTGTTAATATAATATGTGCAAAGGATGTTTCTGGGTTAAGACTCTTCTGGATTATTATGAGTCATTGACCCATTCTTATGAGTCATTAACACCACAATCTGCCAGAACACGAATGTAGGATAAGTGCAAAGGATGTTTCTGTGTTAAGACTCTTCTGGATTCTTATGAGTCATGGACCCATTATTTCTCAAGAAAAACAAAAAATTGACAATATTGTCCTCAGTTAATCGACTCCAATTTTAACCATATGTTCGTCAGCACATGCTGAAAAAGGGTAACATAACGATAAGCATTCTGTCTAATTCAAAATTATGGCTAGCTAATGAGTTGCTATACTTTGTAAAACAACACAAGCTATGTTACGAATATGGCATGCCGATACAGGACAAGATACCAGTAACTTCATTTGGATACATCATTTGCACAGAACTTTATTGGAAGAACAGATGAAGACAGACGATGAATACAACACATAAAGCTCAGCATGCTACCGTGCTAAGATCTGTCTCATAAAGACATAGAGCGAGGACTAAATTTAAATGAACAATAAAGGATGCACGATTGGAAGGTGGTAAATACGACACCAACCAATGTAAAAATACTCAAGTATCACTCACAGAGAGTGTCTCCTGACAAACTTATGACTTGTGCAGAGTACAAAGACAGTTCTCCTGGCCTACATCAGCTGCAATGCAAGGAGATTGGCATTTTCCTTCCTGGTACCAGGTTACCCGCTTCTCCACCAACTCATTTAAGAAAGTATCCAGCTTATCAACATTGACGCTGGGCATTACCACAACATGTGATATACCTCCCTCACAAGCAAGCTGCCACCGTCGCACAAACTCCTCGTCCTTTGGCCTCTCAAAAACTACTGTACTACTGAGCTCGTTAAGCATCGCACTAATTCCAGCATCCTTGAGCCGATCTTTCAGGTAATGTGCATTTCTCAAGCACTTCTGAACTTCCTTCTGAAAACCTCTATAACCTTTCCTGTTCAGGGTGTACCATAGGAAGATGGGAGCATGACCATTCCTGCTTCCCATGATTGTAGCATCTCGTGAAGCTAGATACTCAACATTGCTAGAAAGGGCATTTATGTGATTCAACCTTGTTATCTGGACACCACAGGGCATGGGACATCCAACAAACTTGTGACCAGACACGCTCACACTCCCAATGGGCTTCTTAAAGGATACCCTAGGTGCCTGATGATCAGCAACAAAGAAAATAAATCAAGGATAATGAAACAATGTGTCAAAAGAAGCAACCAATATGGCGTTAGGGGGCAAAGTAGAGGTACCTGCTTAACAAATGGCATCATCAGACCAAACAGAGCACCGTCACAGTGTATATAAAACCGATCCTTGAACCCACTTTTTTCAAGTGTTTCGATAACCAAGTCAAGATCATCAACTGCTCCCTTGACAGTTGTCCCTACATCAAGGAAGAGTTAGGTTTACAGCCCGATCATGAAGGTGCAGATTTGCAAGTGTAATAAAGAGTGTATGCAGCTCACCAATGTTGACATTAATAATAGCAGGTTTATCTTTGTTTTCATGTAGCTTTCTTCCAAAATCTGCACAATCTATTTCTCCAGAGACAAGAGTATCCACTTTAACGCAATCCATCCTGTACATTCTCGCTGCTTTGAACACCGAGTAGTGTGAATCACGAGAGGCATACAAGATCCCATCAGGGAAAACTTCCCTTCTGTAAAACAGTTTGTAGATGTAAATAAGATTTCAGAAAGAAGGGCTATATCTCTGTATATAATATTGCGAGTACTGACCCGACAAGGATCCCATGCAGATTTCCTTCGGTGCCACAGTTCGTAATGTATCCCCAATATTCATCCTTTTCGAGGTCCCAAAGGCGAGCAAACCAATCCAACACACCCACTTCAAACTGCCTGGAGTGCACGCCATAGTTGCTCTCGATGAATGGGTCGCCCAGGTTGTTAATGGAGAAGTGCTGCAGCTGGGAGAGAGCACCGTACTCAAAGTCCAGATTGTATGGGTAGCCTACAAGCAAACGGATGAGAGTGTTCGTGAGAGTGGAAGCAGATCAGTTGCGTTGCACTCAACCAGATTCATCGATGAATTTGCACCTACAGGAACTCAATACACGTTTCACCTCCTCACCCAAAAAAGGTTAACAGGGAATATACTATTAGTAGTAATAAAATATCGGGGCTAGGATCACCGTGTCTCTACGCTACACAAACCGGAGCGGATCATTCTGCACTGCGTCGAAGGAACGAGCAGAGGAGGAAGGAAGGGGGGATTTACCGAGGTGGTGCTTGGTGCGCTCGACGAGGGAGCGGCGGTAGCGCGCGAGGACGCCGGCCATGGTGGCCTCGCGCTCGCCGGTGAACTCGTCGTCGGCGTCGGGCTCCTTGACCGCGAAGCAGGAGGCGTGCATGTTCCTCCCCAGCACGATCTCCCTCTCTCCCTCCACCACCTCCGGGGCCAGCTCCTCGGGCAGCGGCGCCGCGGCGGCCTTCTCGCGGAGCCCCGGGGCAGTTGGCGCCGCCACGCCATTCGCGATGGTGCCCGTCATGGCCGGCGTCGGGGGTGGTTGGAATGGGGGAGTGGGAGTGTGGATTGGAGAAGGCGGAGGAGGAGGAGGGGCCGAGATCCTGCGGAAATGCTGCGTCGGTTTTGATTTGGGATCTGGATGGAAATGGTTGGGTTGATTGAGTAGGCTGCCGCGTGCCTCGCGTCGCGGAAAAGAAAAGGCTTTGGTTGATTGGCCTGTCGCGATCGTGTGGCCCATGGCTCCTCCAAAGCCCAATCTCGTCTCTTCTTCCTCCATTCGGGCCTCGGAAGGGCCAACCGACGATACTCTACCCCACCACCCGATTCTCTGCGCCCAACAAGGCCCCATGCATTCTCAAAAAAAAAAAAAAAAACAAAAAAAAACAAGGCCCCATGCCGGCTCCCATCGCATTCCATTTTAGTCGAAGCTGCGCGAAACAGACTGCCGACTGGCCCCTAATTCTTGTGATGGCGAAGGTTTGCGGATGGTTTGGTCCTCGACTCCCTGTGATTATCTCTGGGCATTAGGGATTCGTTTGGAGAGATCGGGGGATACCATATTTTTAGGGTTTCTGGTCTGCAGTTTGGGCGCCGAATCACGCTAATCTTCTGTCTTATGCTTTTGCTTAGCGATTCATGCCCAGTTGGTACACAATAAGCCGACAGACTACTCATCAAATTCAGAAAGATACACCTTGTGCATGCAGAGTTGACAGTGCTTGGGCAACAGATTCAGTTTATCCATCGCGTTTTCCAGTTTGTGCTTTCACCGGCAAAGTATCAGAATTTTGTTGTGAGTGCTTGTGGTTTGTGAACATGCTTTGGGTGAAATTTAGTAAAACACTTCTACGTCAGGTTACTATTTTGGGTGTGAGGGCAGTGGAAAGGGGAGGCTGAGGGACTCATCAAATTGACAGTGCTTATCACAATGTGTTAGGATAATAGCGCTATGCAAGAAGATGATGCAAATTCGTGACTTCTTTCAAGTTTTAACTTGATTCCTTCCGTGTCAAGCCTTTGTATCTACGTTTTTATGAGTAAAGTAATACTTGCCACAACCTATGTACTCAGGTTAGTTATGGACGCGGACGAAGAGCTCTCGGCGACGCACCTCCCTGAAATCCACACGTACGTTTTAGTCTTGGGATGGATGCTATTTAATGCAATTCAACTTTGCTTTGAACCTATACGGATAGATACTCACTGGTATACAGCAGATGAACATTGAATCACATTTATTAGGCACCCACGACTCCGCTGTGGATATGGGAGCTTGCTCGGCTGGAGCAGAGTAGAGCACGTTCATGGCAGTCCAGCGGGACCTGGTCAAGGACACTGGCAACGAGCATGAAGCCCATGACCACGCCCTGGGTGAGCATGGCGTGTACTGTTGCCGAGGCGAAGCATGACCAGGCCAAGCTTGACGGCGACGAGAAAGATTAGGATGCAGACACGCAGCTGGAGAAAAGCAGCCTCGGTCTAGGAAGTTGTGCCGGCTGCGATGGCACCACTGGCCACGGGAACACGGACCATGGAGTTGCCGTCCAACGGTCCAAGGCAGACGCGGTGGACAAAACGCGGCAAGCACAGACGACGGCTGCCTAGATTTTGGCTTTCTTCTCACACGACGTTGTTGGCCGCCAGCCACCAGAATTCATAACTTGGTTGCGGCAGCCATGACGGTCGTGGGTGTCGCAGGACACGGCAAAGCTCGGACGATGACCAGGGCAAACATAGTTTTTCTAGTTCATCCTAGCTTTGCTCCACTTAGCAAGCAGAAGACTGGGAAACAAGGTGCATGGGCTTTAGAAGAGGATCGTGGGGAAGGATTGATGGGGAAGAATGAGTGTCCAGAGAAAGAAGGGTCATATGTGGAGAAGAGAGAGGTGGGGCTCGTGCGCATTGAATAGACTGTTGGCCCTTGGTGGTTGGGCGCTGGTTGTTGAGGTCAGACGTGGGTGTACTATCTGACAATGTCAGTGCAGAAAAAGGCCTAGATACAGGGACGCGGAGTTATTGAGCTCGAGCGCAAATGGACTCGTTACCTGGGCTGTTCGTTATAGCAACAGGATACGATGGGATCCACTTCGTGGGCCATGTCACGGGCGCCGTGTTTGTGACGGAGCTAGAATGTGGTGGATGGATCGAAGCAGAGCCGTGGCACATAACGTCATGTCCTTCCTGATCCGTGGCCCGGGAAACTTGCTTTCTGGTTACCGGTATAGGGACCGAGTAAATGCAGGGATGGTGAGCTCGCTAGGGTTGACTCGCACCTCCGCCGCCTGGATTAGTCACTTGCGGGACGGCGGAGCTTAGCGGCGATTCTCGTGCGCGATACAGTTCCTTATGCAACGATTAAGTGGTGAGCAATCTGCCCATTCTTTTGTATTTTCTGTGCGTGATTTGGATGGTGCTCGCTAAGATGAAAGTTCTGTTTCCAATCTGGGTGCCTAGGACCACCGTGCTGGAAGAGGTGAGCGACATCGATATTCCGATGCAGCCACGACACTACCCGCCCAGGGTCGCGCCTATGGTGGAGGGGCCGCGGATGCAGGCCGAGAACGGTCGGCGAGAGCGTCGGAGCACTCTATTGGAAAGATCAACCTTAGAGCTCCTGGGTGGAAAAGAATGTATGTCAGTTAGGCAGAACCATAAAATTTGTGCGACCAAATTATGATGGCATGGTTTGAAACAATCTGAGCATCCAAATTGTGAAAGGAAGTGGGTGCCTATGTTGGTACTGACTAAACTGCTAGGTGTGTGGCCCTGTAAATATGGATGCAGGGCTGACTCATCTATTAGTGCAGGCTTCAGAAATTCAGAACTAGAATAAGTTTGGCAGGGACATTAGATGATTTTGTGGTTTGAAGTAATTAACATGTTGCCGCTAGTGTGTGGAATCGGGAAATTGTTAGTAACAAAGTTGTGCAAGGTGTGATTTGACTATGTTGATTCTGCAGCTAAACCAAAAATAGAAGAGCAGGATGCTTGCAAATGTTTGCTAATGTTGTCTGTAAAACTATCCATGATACTCATACTTGTTTGTGGGATTTTCTTGGTTGCAAAGTGAGGACATGTGCTGCTGCACGGGGAAGAACACCATGTCCGAACCGGACTACTGCTCTGGAGAAGGCTTATGATCGTCTGATTTCTGGTTTCAAGGACTGCATGGTGGAAATGCCGCCTTTTGCAGAGATTAGGGATGAGCTTGGACTGGAAGACAGGATTGCCGAAAACGGTGATGTCGTGAACCAAATTTTCAGACTGAAGGGGCACTTGTCTTTGTTGGGGACAAAGGACAAAATAGCCTTGCCAATTATGTTAATTCAGCAAATGAGTCTAGGAACAGATCGGCAGGACTTTTGCCATTGGCAAAGAGGAAGGAGATGGGCAGGCATACGACCAGCAGAGAGAAAGCGCCTTGCGAAGTGTTGAGCAAGAGGCCAGATTCTACACCATTTGCCTGCGATTGGGACACAAAAGGACTACGTGCCTAGACAGGGGAGATGTAGCAAAGCAGGCTAGAAGACGCGCTCGATGCAAGAACCATGAAGTCGAAGATCACCGGTGGAACAATTGCAACAAAGGAGTAGAGCTATGTTTGAAAGAGAGTTGACTGAAAAAATAGGGATGTACCTCCGACAGTAGCTGGATGGTTAGGATAAATGGTGTATGTGTATGAAAATTTGCAGATAATGCAGACTGGTTTGTCGTACCTTGTGTGTCCTCATGCCGAAGATGCGAATTTCCTTTGCGTGTATTGATCCACAAGTGTGTCTGAATGTATTTCTTGATACTTCCTGTGTGGAACTAGTCTGAATAAATAGATTGTGGTCCGAATAATCTGTACTGAATCTGCTGTGAGCTGGGCTGGGTTTCGATCTGGAGAATTATGATGTGGGTGGTCGTTGATGGTTATACCTCCAGAATTTTGTTTTTGGTATTAGAGTTTGTTGGGTTATTTGAAAGACTGTAGTTGTAGCTGAATGGCCCCGACAGTTCATTGCATATTGCATTTAGCTGTCTACAAACAGGTGCCTGCTCCAAAATTCTTATACGGCGGACAAGGCAGATGCACGAGTTCAAATCTTGAACAACATGACCTGGAAAAATGGATGCCTACGTACAGATAAACGTTGCAGAGGGGGACATGACGTATTGGCCGCTTCATTCGTGTATTCAGCAGTCTAGATTTTTTTTGAGGGGATTCAGCAGCCTAGATTGGTGGGTGCGACGTTGCCATTCGTCCAGAATCTTGGATTTGACGGCCCATAACATGTGCTTCCGTTAGAGCGGTCAAAACGTGACCGACGGCATCGTCTGTGACGTGGGCCATCGACCCTGATAAAGAAACAAATACCTGGGCCTTCACGTGATGGGTCCACGATCTCAAGAAGATTGAACGACGACGATACCGCGAGCACATGTGCTCGAGCACAGAATAGGACTTCCGTAGATACAGAGCATTCATGTGAGAGATACATGTCAAATAAACTTCTAATACGTACGGCCTAATATAGGAGATGTGAATCCCGAGGCTAGTGAATGGGTCAGATTTCGGTGGGTGTAGTCGCTCGGTGCTCCTAGGCACTTTCGGGTTAGTTATATGTTATTGTCATCAACTATTTTCTGCAGAATGTAGTATCTCATTATTTAAGCTCATAAGGTTCGAGTACCGTTTTAAGGGCCTTATCTGTCTTTTGACTGATTATTTTCTGTTAAAGACTTTTTTTTTGTGCAGAGTTAGCCTTCACCTTGGGAATTATCTGTTGATGCAATCGGCCAACAGGTGAGCTCAGACATGTTGCATTTTTCCTGGCTATTCTGATGTATTCTCTTATGCGATCACCAATGAGTGGTTGTCCAGGTTTTGTAGTCGCAATATGGATGATCTATTTTTACCAGAGATAGTCCTTTTAACAAGGCCGAACTTTTTGAACTCTAGTTGTATACAGTATTGTTGCTATTTACGCTGGGGTTGTAACAGTTTTTTTTG